TTTTTCATTCCAAAGTGCTACTTTTCTATTGTTTTTCTATGTAAACGCGCTAGATGGACGTTTTTGACAGTTACATTCGCGTTATTTTTCTGTTCTGTCAGGACCACTATTGTCAAAACGATAGACACTTAGCATACAGTTTGGTTTGGCGGTATGGTTCTGTTCTGGGCAAAAACTCCCTGCCCAGCCATGCAGCCTGTCATGAATGAGCAAGGAGAGCAGCAATAATAACCCCACAGGGTCAACAGAAGAGAACAAGCAGATATCATTAATGTACTTAATGATATTTAAGTGTAACACATTATTCAAGATAAAGGAGTCTGATTCAACAAGGAATATCAGAAAGCCTGACTGTGGAGAAAGGAGGAGCTGGGGATGGGGGAGGGTAATTTGCTCCTGAATTAGCGAAAAAGCTGCTGAATAATACTGAATAGAGCTTATATAGAAATGCAGTGATAGCTGTCATATATTCATATAGGTAGATGTGATCAGCTGAGAGTCAGCTGATGCAAGCTTGACTCATGTGACCTGCCAGAACTAACGCTATACACTTAATTTCTACTTAAAAAAAAAAAAAAAAAACCTGAGACCATGTTTTTATTTCTCATTCCACTGCCCGTGTTTCACGTTTTTTCACAGCAAAAACAAGTTTTATGTGAACAGCCTCACACTATTAAATAATTGTGTCGGTTATTTTTTCAGGACAGACCAGCCTGTGAAGAACAAATCATATAATTTATAATAGCATGCACAATTGAAATGAAAGTGCTAAAATCACTTTGTTCCTTTAGCAAGCAGGTCTACTGAAAAATAAGGTGTTGCCCAATGGTCTTGTGGAAATGCATGCATACGCGATCACAGGAGTTGCAGAGGTGAGACCTTAGTTATTTTGGCTTGATTAAGTTGATAAGGAAATGTTTCCTGTGATCTAATGAGTTGTTCTCTCACAGGTTGTATGTAAAGGTCATCCAGTGAAGCTGGTGAGGATCTTTAACCCTTGGGGTAACGGAGAATGGAACAGAGACTGGAGCGACAAGTCTGAATTATTCTGATTTAATTAATATTTCTCTATAATTCCTCCATATATCAACCATCTGACATCTTGTTAATCTGGTCTTTTTAGATCCCCTTTGTGGGAACTTGTGCGTCCTGAGGACCAAAAACACAACGTTGTACTCGACAATGGAGAATTCTGGTGAGCAGAAATAAGAACCAAATGTTTTATATCTCTTGCCTTTTCTTGATTTTTGTGCATATAATGCATAATTGCAAGTCACTATATTTGGTTTTCTGTCTCTGCAGGATGTCAGTGGAGGATTTCTGCAGGAATTTTTCAGATTTGGATATATGTTGTTCTGATGTAAAAGTTCTTACTGGATCGTATTCTTCCTCCTGGAAAACTGAAGTGCACAGAGGCCAGTGGGTGTTAGGAACAACAGCAGGAGGCTGCTCAAATGACATAGGTAATCCAACTCGGTTTATTCTACAGCTATTTTTACTACAAGGATGCAGCTTCAAGTCATTTCAAGCACTGTTTGAGAAGATGTTCTTTTTTTTTTAAGTAGATCCTTGTTGATCGCAGTTGCTTTTAATCAAGATATTGTGTAGAAAGAATGTTATTTTTTCTTCTCCAGACTCTGAATAATAATTGAGGTTTTCAATAATTCAATGTTTTGTTGTCAAATATTTCTCACATGATTAATGGCAGCTTAATTTGGAGATCAGAATCAGATATCTCTCCTTTTTCTTACATTTATAGACAGTTTTTCAAGCAATCCCCAGTTCCGTGTGACTCTTAAGGAGACTGTTGAAGACCCCAAAGATGAAAGCTCTCCAAATCTCCTCGTGTCTCTCATTCAGAAATCTCACAAGAGAAACCGGCACCTAGCCACCAATTTCCATATTGGCTTTAACATTTATGAGGTTTGTAGAAATCTATTTTGAGTTTGAATAAGACCTTCTTTCAATGAATACAATATTTAGTACTTGAACGTTTATATTTGTTGTCTTGCAGGTGCCAGCTCATGTATGTATTGAATATATTCATCCTGATTTTGATGACAATTTTGAGTTTGTTTTGCAAGGACATAATACAATTTTTACTTATTCACTAGTTAAAGGACCGGAGGGAAAAATTCCCTGCATCATTCTTTAAAACCAATCCCATTGGAAAAACCAAAACCTTCTTCAATGCTCGTGAAGTCATGGAGTTTTTCCGATTTAAAGCAGGCGAATACCTTATCGTTCCTTCAACCTTCCAGCCAAACGAAGCTGCGTCCTTCCTTCTGACAGTCTATTCAAAGACAGAAGCCATCATTGAGTAAGAGCTTGGATTATTAACATTAGAGCATGAGTGATGGGCTAGATGCTTAAACAGTAATTTATGCTAATGCTATTTCTGCATACATACGAGAAACTACACTCTTAAAAATAAAGGTTCTTTACTAGAATTGATTGTAGATTTTGATGTTGTGTCTTCAGAGACAAATCTGGATATGGCATGACAAGAACAAAGGTATATGGAAGCTTGGGATGTTTGTTTTTATCATGTTTCGTGTGTTTTGAAAGTATATGTATATCTGTTAAAATGGTTTTCATTTTTCTCAGATGATTCCCCGGGATAATGATGAATCCTTTCAGCTTTTTCTGCAATATGCTGATAAGGTACATGTGACTCTTCAGCAGTTCTGGATTTTGAGGGAATGGGACTGATTATGATCAGAAATGTATTAAAATTGCGGCTGAAAGAAACCACACATATTTAAAACAAACATGTTATCTGATGATTGTCTGTTTATGTAAGTATGGAGAGGTGGACGATGAGGGACTTCAAAGACTTCTGAATGAGAATCTTTATGCAGGTAATACTTGTTGAGAAAAGTAACTTTTTAAATGTCATCTTCCTGTTTTGCTTCCAGTGATCTCTGATTCTGCGTATGTTTTTGGTCTGATCTTTCAGGACATTCACAGAGGACAACAGGATTCAGTTTGGATTTGTGTAAGAGCTTGGTGGCTCTGATGGATGTATCCTCAAATATGAAGGATCAGAGTGAGAAACAGCTTTCAGGGTTCTGTGTTTCAGATGCTTTTGCATGTCATTTGTAAATTATAGAATTAAAAAAAAGTATAACTTGTTTCATGATGCTCTTTAACGCAACAACGCAGCTCAGTGTCACTGGAAGGCTGAGTGAATTTGAATGCCTTCGTTTGTGGAAACGTATTGTTTTTCAAAGGGTAAATATCCATCGGAAGTGCAACATTTTCCAAAATGCACATTTTAGAAGTAAAATGGGTTGCAATTGCTCTCTGGATTCTTTGTTTCAGGACATTTTCTATGACATGGATGTTTCGCGCACTGGAAGTCTGTCTCTGAATGAACTCAGAAATGCTCTTAAGGTCACAGGTAACTTTACTTTCTCTCACACCATTTAATTGCCTAATGTGCAAAACAATATCATTGATATGCTGATATTTTGGATGTGCTCAAGGGTTTGTATTGAGTGACAGTATGCTGAATCTCATGGCTCTACGATACGGCGACTCTAATGGTGAAATTACACTGGAAAACTTTATTGTGCTCATCCTGCGCATGGATTGCATGGCCAGTGAGTCTAAAACATTAACCTAATTGTGTTGTACTATATATTCTGAATAAGGGATAAGGAATCGGTTTGGAATCGAGTTTAATTTTGAGGTGCTTAAAGATTCTCACCCCTATATCACATCAAAGATTGAGAAATGAGCTTCATAATGCATTTTTCATCAAGATAATGAAATGACTGCATGACATCCAGTCCTAACCTAATGCACTCACTGTATATAAACTGATATGATCACCACCAGAGACATTCAAGAGACTCGCTGCTGGAGGGCCGAATATGATGCTGGGAGAAAATGAAGTAATGTTTTTCATACAAATATTGAATTATTCAGAATTCGTAGTAAGATTAATAAAAATCATAATCCGTAACGGTAGAATTAACCAATGCTTTGTTGTTGTAGTGGATGCATCTCACCATGTACTCGTGATTCAGATGAGACTGAGAGAATGGAGAGAGAGAGTTCCATTTGAGTAGCAGCAACAACAAGATGAGCTCCTGATTATTTTACTTTTAATATTGTTTTAAAATAAGACAGACATTCAGTTCTGACCAATTTAAAACAAAAAGACTTCATACAACTTATATTACCCACAAGAATAGTTTAAATCAACCAAGAAAAACAGCAGAAGACCCAAAAGACCACACAACTGTCACAGAGAGAAGACCTCTTTTCAGACCAAGACCTGTATGAATTTATCCACGGACTAAAACCTCAGAGAAACAAAGGAGGATATCAAACATCAATCTTTAACGAATAAGGAAGAGTCACAGATGGATCCCGGGACAGACTTCTGAGACCTCACTGATAACATACAGCAATAAAATACACACATCTAAGACTTAAATGCAACTTTACCTTCAAACGTGATGCATTAGACATAATGCAGGCTTGACTGTGCATAAAGAAATTGATTGGATAGAATTAATTATGTGGAGAGAGAGAGAGAGAGAGAGAGAGAGATCAACCAGGAAACTTGTATTCAGATAACAATAATCTAGTTTAGTTTTTTCTTTTAAATCTTGAAAACTGTTTGCAAACTCTATGCACTGTGCCCTAAGATTTATTACAACCACTAAATAAATAGTTATATCTCAGCATTCACTAACTTGTATTCAGATAACAATAATCTAGTTTAGTTTTTTCTTTTAAATCTTGAAAACTGTTTGCAAACTCTATGCACTGTGCCCTAAGATTTATTACAACCACTAAATAAATAGTTATATCTCAGCATTCACTGTGTCATCATGCTTATGTTGTGGACACTTTACAAATTACATACTGTGACATTTGCACAATATTTAAATATTGACCTGAGAGTCATGTGACATCACACCTGAGTGGGCGAAGTCAGACTTTAAAAGGCTTCTCCTGAAACTTCCCCCAGCTCTTTGCTTTGGGAAGGACGGAATAATCTTCCAGCTACAGTAAGAGACGACAGGTATGTTTTGAATCATTTCATCTTGCTATCATTTCAGTTATTACATTTACAATATCTGTGCATGAGAAGGAAACTATCAACTGACATGCAAATGAATTTGTGTTTTAATTCAGTCATTTACACGCACATATATACATGCTGCAATGGTTTTTCATGCACGTTTGTGTCATCTGAATCAACCTAAACCAAAAACAAATAAATAAGCATAAAGGGTAATGTTTTGTTTTTATTGTTTACTATATTTCATTGTACTCTGTAAAATAAAGTTTAATCTACTTGTCTGAAGAGTAAAATGTGAGTAAACAGAAATAAAAGCTATTGGAAAAATGTTCACCATAAAAAAAAGCATTGTGCTGCTGTCTGTTCAACAGATTTGAGCCGCAATGCCAGCACCTGGTGTGTGTTTAAATATCTTATCGGAGCGTAATCTCAAAGATGGACAGGGCTCTCCCAACAATCCTGAGAAGTTCCTGGATCAGGACTTCCACCGGCTCAAGCAATTCTGCCTGAAGGAAAAACTGAGATTCGTAGACAACTTGTTCCCACCAGAGATGAAATCAATCAGTCTGGGTCCCCTGAAGCGTGAAGACCTTCAGAGAGTGGTGTGGAGGAGACCACATGTACGTGAACATCTTCACACACAAACTCAATCCGTTCATAGCAGAAACCTCAGAAATGAACTTGTTGATCATTACAGATTTTCACCTGAAATCTAAAGTAGCCTAAAGTCACTTTGCAAAATGCAAATACATCTTGTTGAACATTGTGATGCTAATTTGATGTTGAGATTAGGGCAAGTCTGGTTGTAAAGCCTAACATCCACAACAAAGGAACTGCAGAGTCATGCATGCTTTTCTGTTTGGTTTAGTTTGTATTTTCAGACTAGAATTGAAAACTTTAGTCTCTCTGCTGTTTTTTAGTGATTTGCACCCTTGTGATTGTGTCTGATGTGCTGTAAAGTGTGAAATGAATCATCTGTTTCCTTCAGGAACTGGTGCCAAACCCTGTTTACATTGTTCAAGGAGCTTCAAGGTTTGATTTTATCCAGGGTCGATTAGGTAGGTCTGATACAAATATATTATGTGCTTACAATCTACAAGTGTAGATTTGGAGAAGGTCATGCAATACTCTCTACTATGTAATTATATGCCGTATTAATATAAATGTAAAATTCCACCAATGTCCATACCAAACCTGCAGTATGTACTTAAAGCATACATAAAAAAATGCATTAGAAACAAAATTATAATGCAATACATCAATGCAATTAACTAAAGCAAAAGCGAAACATTATCATTTAGAGATGAGGAAAATTTCAAAGGTTGTAGGTCTCAACCGCTTAATAGATAAAGTGGCAGTGCAATAAAGCAATAAATAAGTCATATAGATGTGTACTGTATGTACAATGTGAATACAAACCAAAAATTGTACATAAATGTACAGAGACATTTTAAAAGGAATAGAAGTTGAACTCAGTCTTTAGGTCAAATTAAAATGTTGATAGTTGGAGTAGAGTTTAATAACAAAATATTCAGTTGCATGCAGCTGTTTTCCATTTTATGGAGTTGTAATGTTTTTGACAAATATATATATTCCGTATGTGTGTACGTATGAAGGAAACTGCTGGTTTCTGGCATCCGTTGGAGCTCTAACATTTCAAAAACGAATCATGAAGCAGGTTATCAATGATGAACAGAATTTCTCTGTGGATTATGCAGGAATCTTTCACTTTAAGGTAAGCGTTTAAACCATTTTTGGGCAAACTGTTCCTTTAAGAGTTAAAGCTTCTATATTTTCGAGAACTGTCATGTTTTGTTTTCAGTTCTGGAGGTTTGGATCATGGGTAGATGTTGTTATTGACGACAAACTACCAACCATTGATGGCCGACTTGTCTTTGTTCAGTCCAAAACACCAAATGAATTCTGGCCTGCTTTATTAGAGAAAGCTTATGCTAAGTGTGTTTCAGTTCATTTATTCATAAATAATTTAAATGAAAAATAATTTACCTTTGATTTTTAATCTGACTTTCATATACTTTCTGCTTCAAAGGATGTAATATGGTCTTTTTTTATCCAGAGTGTGTGGCTCGTATGCAGATATGGATGCAGGAAACATATCCGAAGCTCTCATGGACTTCACCGGTGGACCACACATGACCAGTAAACTAAATGATGTGTCAGGAAAGCTTTGGGACACCATGAGACGAGCCGGCCAATCAGAATCCCTGATGGGATGTGGTACTCCTGGAGGGGTAAAGATCGAGTCTTTAATATTATTATATACTATGCAATTTAAAAAAAAAAAAAACATTAAAAGATATTAATTGATGATGAATTTTTGTTACTTCATATAGATTAATTCTTGTTTTTTGAAGATGAAGGCATGTCACAACCTGACAAATATATCATAATGAATTTAATTTCTAATTTGACTCTCATTTACCAACTGAATTTGCACCAAAATACAGTAGAGTTTGATTAGATGCACAGATTTTAACAAACAAGACATGGGAAGCATTTTATTCTCCTCCCTTTTAAAATGTGTTTAAGCCTATTCATATATGTGACCCTGGAGCACAAAAGCAGTGTTAAGTCACTGGGGGATATTTGTAGCAATAGCCAAAAATACATTGGGTCAAAATTATCGATTTTTCTTTTATGCCAAAAATCATTAGGATATTAAGTAAAAATCATGTTCCATTAAGATATTTTGTAAATTTCCTACCACACATATATTAAAACTTAATTTTTGTTTAGTAATATGCATTGCTAAGAACTTCATTTGGACAAATTTAAAGACGGTTTTCTTAATATTTCGATTTTTTTGCACCCTCAGATTCCAGATATTCAAATAGTTGTATCTCGGCCAAATATTGTCCTATCCTAACAAACCATACATCAATGGAAAGCTTATTTATTCAGCTTTCAGATGATGTATAAATCTCAATTTTGAAAAATGTACACTTATGACTGGTTTTGTGGTCCAAGGTCACATATAAACTCATTTCCACCATGGAATAAAAATATTTTAAAAGTAATTGTAACTTTTTATCTCACACTTTTGACTTTTCAGAATTATAAGCTATAACCTCGGAATTTTGACTTTTTCCCTGTATATTTTGCCATTTTGAATTTTTCTCAGAATTCTGAGTTTAAAACTTGCAATTCTGTTTTTTGTTTCCACTATGGAATCAAAAAAAAAAAAAAAAAGGTAATTGCTACTTTTTATCTCACAATTCTGTGTTTTCTTTCAAAAATGTGAGTTTATGCCTCACACATCTGGATTTCTATTTTGTAATCCTAATAAGGGATTAATATAATTCCCGGAATAGGGGGGGGAGTCAGAATTGTGATAATTCTAAAATTCTTTGTATTTGTTTGTATTTAGCATTGTTTTTCCCTGCATTGGGAACAGACAGTCATACAAACATGATCACAAAAGTCCTAAAACCACTTTGTTCCTTTAGCAAGCAGGTCTACTGCAAAATAACGTGTTACCCAATGGTCTTGTGGAAATGCATGCGTACGCTGTCACAGGAGTTGCAGAGGTGAGAACTAATTTGGTTTACAGTTTTGATGTGTTTAGTATCTTTTAGCTCAATTAAGTTGATAGGTGTTTCCTGTGATCTAATGAGTTGTTCTCTCACAGGTTGTATGTAAAGGTCGTCCAGTGAAGCTGGTGAGGATCTTAAACCCTTGGGGTCACGGAGAGTGGAACAGAGACTGGAGCGACAAGTCTGAATTATTTTATTTGAATTAATATTTCTCTATAATTCCTCTATATATCAATTAGGCATCTGACTTCTGGTCTCTTTAGATCCCCTTTGTGGGAACTTGTACGTCCTGAGGACCAAAAACACAAAGTTGTACTTGACAACGGAGAATTCTGGTGAGCAGAAATAAACATCCAAAGTCTCTAAAGTTATTTTAGATAAATTTTTAAGATGAGGTACATGCCCCCAGACATGTACATCATCTTACATTTCATACAGTTGACTGTTGACAAATATAATGCAGGGCAACAACTTCATAAATGCAGTTATGCCATAAAATTCAAGATATTGGTGAAAAAAATGCCCCTGAGTTTTGTCTCATATTTATATATATATATCACATATCACACGATATCACACGAGCAGCGAGAGCAATATCACAGGAGTGCTGATTTTGTCCTGATTTGTACAAGTTTAAATGTGATTTTATACAACAGTTCAGTAAATGAGAAGTTGATATTGTGTTATACACAATATTATGTGTTTTTGCTCAATTTAGCAGAGAACATATAATCTTTAAAGCCACAGCAGAACTGTTGCATGTCTCTTAGCAACACAGCACTGTTTAATTTTCGGAATGAATCCGCGTTTTGAACGAATCGTGTGAATCAATGGCTGCATCCGAAAATGTATGCAGCTGACTTGCTGCCTCGCTGCCGTATGAGGCAATGACAATGACAATGACAGCGTAACGGTTTAATGATCTACAACAAAATAGAACGAGTTTTTGTGATAACTAAACGAATATTTAATTACTATAATACTTATGTCTCGCTAGAAATAACATACATCGTGCAAAAAGTTAGTCTTTAGTAATTTACACACAAACTGACCACCAAACGCAACTTTCAGACGTCATCTTTATTTTTTTAGCTCAAAAATGCACGGAATGGAACACACAGGATTGTTGGATATCAAAGGCAGCAAACGATACATCTATGCTGCCTTCAAAATACGATCAGAAGACGGTACCTCCGGAGACAGGAAGTAAAGCAGAATTTCAGACGTGCCTTGATGCCTTCCTGCCTCCGAAGGCAGCATTTTAGAGTTTTCAGATGCAGCCAATGATTCAAAGGCCCATCTATAAATAGAATAAATTACTTTATTCCTGAATGAATCAGCCATTTGAATGAATGAATGACTCATAAAAACATTTACCGCCACCTGCTAGCAGATTTAGTTTGTTATTTAGAGTATAATTTCATAAAAAAAAAAAAATAATAATAATAATAAAAACATTAAAGGGATAGCCAAAAAAAATAAAATTCTGTCATCATTTACTTACCCTAATGTCGTTTCAAACCTTTCTTTTGTGGAACATAAAAGAAGGTATTCTGAAGACTGTTGGTAACAAAGCTGTTTTAGTTACTAATGACTTTCATTATATGAACAAAAAATACTGAGATGTTTCTCAAATTATCTTTTTTTATGTCCCATAGATTATCTTAGGCCGTGGTATCCTAAATGTTTATGTGTAATACATTTTATGTTGAATCAAGTAAAATATTTATTTCTAAAGCTACAATTTGTAATGTCTACTTGATACTTTCTCATTTAAAGAGGTCATATGATGCGATTTAAATGTTTCCTTTCTCTTTGGAGTGTTACAAGCTCTTGGTGCATAAAGAAGATCTGTAAAGTTGCAAAAACTAAAGTCTCAAATCCAAAGAGATATTCTTTATAAAAGTTGAGTCAGCCACGCCCCCCTAAAACAGCTCGTTCTAACACGCCCCCACATGTCTACATCACTATGTGGGAAGATTTGCATAACGCCGCCCAAATGTTCACGCAAAGAAAGAATATATATATATATAATATCTTGTTTTTTTGTTTTTTTTTTGCTTTTTTGGATGTAATGCATAGTTGCAAGTCACTATATTTACAGCAGGTTTTCTGTCTCTGCAGGATGTCAGTGGAGGATTTCTGCAGGAATTTTTCAGATTTGGATATATGTTGTTCTGATGTAAAAGTTCTTACTGGATCGTATTCTTCCTCCTGGAAAACTGAAGTGCACAGAGGCCAGTGGGTGTTAGGAACAACAGCAGGAGGCTGCTCAAATGACATAGGTAATCCAACTCATTTATATCATTCTTATTACATCTATTTTATTATGACTATGACTTCTACTGTTTGTTCAAGCATAAGGATGCAAATCATGTCAAAATAAGACCATTTACTGAAAATTAATTATGTATGGCTTTGTTGAAAGGTTGATTGTGATTGGTTGACAGTGATGCTTGAAGTGAAAAACATGAGGTGCTTGCTTTACTTTGAGCCTGAACCTGATGATACTTTTAGTTCAGAGAGTGATTTAGATGTTCAAACTGCTCAGAATAATTCAGTAAAGGATTCATCAGGCTGATCCAACCCGTTCACATCTGAGATTGTGAGTTATTCTGAACAATTCATTAGAAGAACTGTCTCAAATGAGTTGTTTGCATTATGTTATTGTGTTCAACTCGAGAGAACAACTCATGTCGTTATTTTGTCATTTGTCTTTTTTTATATCACAACTTTCATTGGGAAACAAAAAAGTTTGCAAACGAATGCAAAAGCAATGAATGCCAATTTGAGTTTTTTTCTTGGTTATCAAAAGTTCTATTTTCTAAGGGAAGTTAACCGTGGCTATTAAACAGATAGGAGTCTGAGTTATGACACTTCTTTAATAGCCTATAGACTATAAGTCTCTTTTTGTTTTTTGCATTTATAGACAGTTTTTCAAGCAATCCCCAGTTCCGTGTGACTCTTAAGGAGACTGTTGAAGACCCCAGAGATGAAAGCTCTCCAAATCTCCTCGTGTCTCTCATTCAGAAATCTCACAAGAGAAACCGGCACCTGGCCACCAATTTCCATATCGGCTTTAACATTTATGAGGTTTGTCGCAATGTAATCTGACATCTTATGAATTTGCAAAAGACTCTCTTCACTTGAATGAACATTTATATTTGTTTTCTGTTACTCCTGCAGGTGCCTGCTCATGTACGTAGTTAACATATTCCTGAAACACTTGGTTGAATTTTGGGTTTGTTTTGCAGAGACAGAGTAATCAATATTGTTCCTTATTGTCCAGTTAAAGAATCAAAGGGAAAAATTCCCCGCCTCATTCTTCAGAAACGCCCGTCTTGTTGGAAAAAATGAATCCTACATCAATGCTCGGGAAATCATGGAGTTTTTCCGATTTAAAGCAGGCGAATACCTCATTGTTCCTTCAACTTTCCAGCCAAATGAAGCTGCATCTTTCCTACTGACAGTCTATTCAAAGACAGAAGCCATCATTGAGTAAGAGTTAATGCATGTTAGGCTGGCATATGACAAGCTATTTGAACATAAATAATAACCTATATCAGCTTTAGTAGAAGTAGTTTTTAGTAGTAGAATTTAATGTAGGATCATTGGACTACAGTATTAAAAATGTTGATGTTGTGTCTCCAGAGACAGTTCTGGATATGGCATGACAAGGAAAAAGGTATAGCACAGCTTGGGCTATAATATACAAAGGTAAGCTTTGAAAGTGAATATATTTTCAAATGATCTCCATTCTTCTCAGATGATTCTCAGGGATAATGATGAATCCTTCCAGCTTTTTCCACAATATGCTGATAAGGTACATGTGACTCTCTAACAGTTCTGGATTATGAGGGAATGTGACTGATTATGATCAGAAATTGCCTGAAAATACAGCTGAAGTAACAAAAATACCCCAGATATTTAAAACGAACAGCATGTTTTGTAACATTTGATATATATCCTAATATTATATGTAAAACCAAATCATCATTGTCTGTTTATGTAAGTATGGAGAGGTGGACGCTGAGCGACTTCAAAGACTTCTGAATGAGAATCTTTATGCAGGTGATGCTTCAAACTTCTTCCAGAGAGAAGTCACAATATAAGCTCATATTTTTAAATCTCATCTTCCAGTTTTGCTTCCAGTGATCTCTGATTCTGCATATGTTTTTGGTCTGATCTTTCAGGACATTCACAGAAGACAACAGGATTCAGTTTGGATTTGTGTAAGAGCTTGGTGGCTCTGATGGATGTATCCTCAAATATGAAGGATCAGAGTGAGAAACAGCTTTCAGGATTCTGTGTTTCAGACACTTTTAGCATGTTTTTAAATTATAGAACCAAAAAAAGTTTCATGATACTCTTTAACAACAAATGCAGCTCAGTGTCACTGGAAGGCTGAGTGAATTTGAATGCCTTCGTTTGTGGAAACGTGTTGTTTTTCTAAAGGTAAAAGTGCAACACATTTATACTTTTTTTTTGAATGAGAATCTTTATGCAGGTGATGCTTCAAACTTCTTCCAGAGAGAAGTCACAATATAAGCTCATATTTTAATATCTCATCTTCCAGTTTTGCTTCCAGTGATCTCTGATTCTGCGTATGTTTTTGGTCTGATCTTTCAGGACATTCACAGAGGACAACAGGATTCAGTTTGGATTTGTGTAAGAGCTTGGTGGCTCTGATGGATGTATCCTCAAATATGAAGGATCAGAGTGAGAAACAGCTTTCAGGATTCTGTGTTTCAGACACTTTTAGCATGTTTTTAAATTATAGAACCAAAAAAAGTTTCATGATACTCTTTAACAACAAATGCAGCTCAGTGTCACTGGAAGGCTGAGTGAATTTGAATGCCTTCGTTTGTGGAAACGTGTTGTTTTTCTAAAGGTAAAAGTGCAACACATTTATACTTTTTTTTTTATCATTGCATGTTCTATTTTCAAAATGCACATTATATAAGTAAAATTATTTGCAATTGCTCTTTTGTCTGTTTATCAGGACATTTTCTATGGCAAGGATGTTTCACGCACTGGAAGTCTGTCTCTGAATGAACTCCGAAATGCTCTTACGATTACAGGTAACATTATTTTCTATGTTAAGACTATTTTAACACACTTCTATGTTCTCAAATGATCTTAAAGTCATAAAGGTTACATCCCAATTTAATCACTTGCCATTCAAAATAATAGAATGGATATGCTCATACTTTTGTTTTCAAGGGTTTGTATTGAGTGACAGTATGCTGAATCTCATGGCTCTACGATACGGTGACTCTAATGGTGAAATTACACTGGAAAACTTTATTGTGCTCGTCCTGCGCATGGATTGCATGGCCAGTGAGTCTAAAATATTAACCTGTTGTGTACTATTACAGTTCAAAATATTATGTTCAATAAAAAATCCTAATAATAACTGGAGATCCAAGATAGATAAATTAGAATTCAGCTTAAATAATTTGATTCATGTTTCACAAAGATAATTAAATGACTGCATAACATCCACACCAAACTTAGTGCATTATGTCCTTGTCATGTCTGGATTATTTATGTTAATTGCTGTTATTAATGTACACTACGTATAAATTCATATGATCATCACCAGAAACATTCAAGAGACTCGCTGCTGGAGGGCCGAACATGATGCTGGGGGAAAATGAAGTAATGCTTTTAAATCAAATATTTCATTCATCAGAATTCATAGTAAGATTAATAAAAATCATAGATCATAACAGCTGTTTAACCAATGCTTTGTTGTTGTAGTGGATGCATCTCACCATGTACTCGTGATCCAGATGAGACTGAGAGAATGGATCCTGGACAGACTTCTGAGACCTCCCTGATAACATACAGCAATAAAATACACACATCTAAGACTTAAATGCAACTTTACCTTCATTACATCACAAGCCTACATTTGGCATAATACAGGCTTGTTATTCATATTTTTTTTGCACCAGTGATGATATATATTTTATGTGACACATTCTATATTAGAGGTGTGTTCTCATAACTGCACACTGGAAGTCAATCTGTGTATCCACAAGCAGTTTATTCAGTGAGTTTATGCCCATTTAACATAACAATGTTTAAAGTGTGCTACATGAAGGCAGCATAGTGATGGCGTTTTTACTTTTTCATGATAAGGTATACATTATATACATATACATATAGTATAAAAGTTATAGGACAAAATTTTGATAAATGCTTTTGCAACCTTTAGACACAACAGGTAACAGACCCAGAGATGTATAGGCTATATCTGGATCGACTGCATGAACGAGATAAAACAAAATGTATTTGGGAAGCTCTAGGCCATTGTTGAGGGTCAATACTTCTTTTCAGCATTCAGGTATCATTGGTACTGTAAAACGACCTTGAATGGAGCTTTCATGAGGCTGCAGCTTTGTTATGGTTAATGCAAAACAATATTAACAAATCAATAAATGAACGTACAGCTGCATAAGGTAACGTATATTTCCTCTCTTGTACTGTGTTTAATCGATCCTTTTCAATCACTCTGATCCACTGCAATTTCTGGCTAAGTACAAGAGCAGCCGCCAGCAATTAAACTTTTAAACATTCACTAATAGTCAAGCCTGTTTGTGTCTGTCTTCACTAAATAATCAAGTCCTTGTTGGATAGTTTGTACACTACATACAAGCGATGTAAAGAAATGCTTCAACAGTCATACATTCCATTGTAAATTGTATATACGTTTTAAAGGCGTAACATACCAGAGGTTAATAGTTGCATAGCCTGGAATGTGTTTTATGGTTTCCTAAGTGGTTTGAGATAGTGTTGCAAACATCGCCATAATAGTTTATAATTGTATACAGTTAAATCACAATCAAAGTACAAATAACCCATGATATTTTCCATGACCCAATGGAATCCACTACATGAGATAAACAAAGTAAAAAACATTTTTACAGATGTTTTGACTGATTCAACTTCAAGTGCAACATTTAAGGAGGTCCATAAAGGTGAAAATGGTCATACTTGTAGAAAAAAGACCAGTTTTTTTTCTCTGTGGCCATTGTTCTTTATAGCTGTCAAGAACATGTGAACAAAATCAGCATGTTTTTGCTGTCCTAGAGCGCAAGTTAATTAAAATTATTACTTGTACCAAGAACTCCAATGCTTTGTTTGCATTATTGCTATAAATATGTATTACTGGAGTTATTTCTCAATTGCTCCATCCATTGTTGTAAGCGTACAGTGTTGTGGGCCGATAAATGATTCCTGAGTAACAGGACGCGTCTGGTATTGAGATTTTTCTGCATTATCGGAAAAACTCTCAAGTCTTTTGAACTTCTTTCGGTGGACATTGGTCCATCATAAAGACGTCTCCACGCAAGAGCCATTCCTATGGAAGGAGCGATGATTGGGGCAACTCTCACTGCAATGGACGATAAGCACCGGGAAATACAGCGCATCCTGGTAAGGTGGTGGGTCTTCCTCGTCAACATTGATCCGTTCGGACAGGCATCGCGTGTTCTCGCTTGGGCTCTCTGGTTCGTCCAGACTGCCGCTCCCACTTCTCCAGAAGCAACTGCGGCGGGAACCGTACAGTCTTCCCAAGGAGAAGTGACTCCCGCTGAAGGGGATCCGTGGACTGCTGTTGCAGATGCTGAGGGCACTGCGGGAGAACACAGAGGAGCTGCTGATGGCGTGATGGCAGCGTTCGCAGTTCTGTCTGACACCTCCTGAATGTTGTGCCAGGTCCATCAGACCCGCCTCGGAGTAGCTGGGCACCAGCTGCTGGTTGGAGCGAATGTGCCACTCCAATTCGGTGCTGTCAATAGTGTTGACTCTTGGGATGCGTCTACAGTAAGGTCTCTCGTCGCAGGGCGTCACAGGTATGCAGTCGGCACCAAAGAGCTTTTCCACACGGTAATGGGCATAAGCCGTGCGGTACTCCGTGAGCACTCGTAACGCCAGGATAAGGTAAGAAAGGCCGCTGTCCAGAAGACGTAGTTGGAGACGTACCAAGGATGGTGGTCGAGGTTGGAGAAGGCAATTATGTACTCTTTGAAATCTACGTTTTTCAGGTGCATCCCCTCCCGAGCCTCCATATAATCATCTAGTCCTTCGTTGTCGGTGAAGAACCTTGCCCGTTGGGTCAAATAGGAGTTTTCAGACTCCACGTTGGCAAAGCTAAAGCACTTAGTGAAAGTCAGTTTGGTGATGGCTGACTTTTCCAGACCGACGAGCTGCTTGGAGACATCCTTAACTCCACAGTGGCCGTAGTCTAACTCTGCCTCGGCTACATGCGTGTTCACCCTCTCGTGATACACCTGCGTGGAGGTGTACGCGTCTCCGTTGTGGTACCTCGTGACTTGCCGCGTCCGCCGCACGTAGTGGTAGCTGATAGCCTTCCACCAGATGCAAGGCTTGGCCTGCTGCATCCTTTGGACTCTTTCGTAAATCCCCTCCACATGGATTTTATATTGAAGCTCATTTCTGGCATGACAGTGCCAGCACTCCACCAGGTAAACGACATAAAGCATGATGAGGAAGGCCAGGGGATGTAGATGTAGCCATCGGAGCAGGGACTGTCATGATACATCATGGACTTCCCTTTGTAGGCACTGTCAAAGGTCAACCAGGTGACCTTGGTGACGTGGCACCACACCTTGGCTCCCATGCAGCCGTACATGAGCATAGACAGCAGCAGGCATTTCCAGAAGACCTCTCTGCACATGGACTTGCTCAGTGACTGTTTCACAGACCTCTGCTGCTCGTCAACCACAAAAGAGAACAAAGAGAATGCAGATGAGTTCAAAAAGACATGGAAATGGTGAGTACAGTGAATTATGCAAATGCAGTGTCATGCATGTTGTTGTTTGAAATCAAGATGATGAATTTGCACAAATGTATTCCTTTACTGGTTTATATTCATGCATCATCTCATCATCATCATAGAGCTGCACATATAGCTAATATATCTAAATAAATACTTTCAGTATCTGGAGATGGATGAGATAATGCTGCCATACACAATACATCATCGCAACTATGTCAGATGCATGCTGGATATACAAACATTTAAGACATTTTTTTTTTATAGTTTAAAATGAGGCTCTCAATATGTTCATGTAAAACAATAAATATGAACTACAAACTAATTTAGATTCAAAAAAGAAAGTTCAAGATTCAATGAAATACCATAAAGAAATAGATTACCAAAAATGTACAGAAGACAAATGACAAAAAAGTGAACATGCATTACAAGCCATTAAAGGGGTCCTATTATGCTCTTTTACAAAGTCTTGATTTTGTTTTGGAGGTGTACTAGAACAGGCTCTCATACTGGGTTGTTCGAAAAACATTATTTTTCACATATTTTACATGATTACAACACCTCTCTCCCCAGTCTGGCATGAATGGCTTGAATTGTTCCTGTATCAAATGAAGGCTAGTCTCCTTCTGAAATACGAAATGTGCTGTAATTGGTTAGCTGGGCCAGTGTGTGTTGTGATTGGCAGCACTTGGCACCTGGTCGGGAAATGACATACCCCTTACCATAGGGGTAGGGGGCATGCGCCTGCGAGCTTCAGTGTAAATATTGTGTCAAAATCAATAGACCACGAGTCGTTCGTTGTAGTTTTTGAAAAGTGATTTCTGTTAAATAAAATATCTCCTTTTGAAGTGGACTTTGAGCTTTGTAACTTTGCAGATCTTTTTTATACTCAAACAGCAACATTACAGACTAACTAAAGTTGAAAACATGAAAAAGCATAACAGGACCCAATTAACTTTTTTGTCCATTTTCGTTTTTGAACACTTTTTTTTTTTGTCACTAACTCTATATTTGATGTTCCTCTCATTGGAATCTGGATTGTAGGCCTCCCTAATTTTTTATGTAAATTAGTTTGGTGTTAGAATTCAATTTCATGTTTTGAAATTAAATACTTAATTTTAACAATATTTACAACAATATTCACTAAATACTACACAATTCCCTAAATTGAAAATGGTCATTATCCATATAAAAAATATTATACAAAATCATATCTAAAGCTGTTTGTAGATTTTGAACCTGACACAACCTTGCTGAAGCAAGCCTAAGCTGCTTTGCTAGTCTCCCAGCTTGGTATTAGCTGATTCTAAAAGATTTTTTGCTTGCTTTCATGTTTTAAGACCAGCATACCAATTAGCAAACCATTTTATTCTGGTTTAGTCTGCAGTACTACATCAACAGTAATCTGCCAAATAACCATGACCACATATGGCCTAGCCAGTATATTGTTTATTCACTATAATGGTTGATTATGTGATCAATCAGCATTGTTAATGTCTGACATGACATTACGTGTCATACTGGTTGTCATTTGTTATGTAGTATCATGGATTTTACCTCTATTGCTTACAATAGCAAAGAATGGTCTAACTGGCCGCCTGTTATTTGATAAAGCCTGTAAGGATCCACCCGCCAGCCCAAAAAGCGGAATCCAGCGGCCTGGTCGAAGGTTTAATGAATACTTATTGTTTTATTGCATGGCGTCTGTTTCGTGTGAGTTCCTGAGTATTGGTTTCACGAAGAGTTAATTTCATAAGGAAATAAATTCAATCCTTTCAAGCCAATCTCTGCTCATGCATTCTCACGCAGTGATGTCCACATAAACATGCATGCTTCCATGTTGTGAACATCGATGCTCGTGTTTACATTTCTTGTTTCACTTATCACGCGCCATTCATGCATCGTCATGACTGCAAAATGAAAACAGCATCAGTTATTGCGTACCTCCTCTCTAGTGCCGTCCGGGTCGTCCTCGAACACAGTGGTGGTGCTGCTCTCACTGGCTGTCGCAGCGGATGCTGGAGGGGACATGGCTGGAACAATGACAGGG